ATGGACTGGACACAGGACTGGCAGTGCATCCCCTCCACCCTAATGTGCACCGCTGACTCAGCACTCAATCCCATGCTCTGCAGCTCCAGAGCCATCTCTTTGGTTGTGATAACGGAGGCATCATAGTCCACTTTGGCTAAGCCGCTGTTTAAAGACAAGCTGGCAGCAAGAACTCCATCCAGGCTGCAGATCCTGCTCTCGATGGTCTGGGTCTGGCTCTCCGGGGAAAGTCCCTGGAGTTTAAGAGTGGCTCTGGAGGCAGTTTTGGGCGGTTGGTAGAGCTCACTCTGACTCCCGTATTCATAGGCCAAGTTATCAAGGCCTTGTTGTTCGATGGGAGCGCCATTCTCCTGGAAAATAAGAAACAAATTAAAGGTGCCCTATATCACTCTTTTTCATCAATATATTATAGTTCTCAGATATATACAAAACATGTCTCTGAAGTGTTTGGCTGGAAATACCAAACAGATCATTGCAGCGTCCCATAATCCTCTCTGTTTCAGCCCTGGTTCAAAAGTGCTGATTCTGGGTCTGTAGCTTTAAATTAAAATAAGGTGCTACTCCCCACAAGATATTTGGTTAAAAAGAACACAATGGTGCTCTCGGAGGAGATTCAGGTGATAAGGGGGGCGGGGGTTACCTTGGTTGGTGATTGGCTAATGGTTACACAAGCCACAAAAACATTATGACATCACAAAGTGGCCAAAATCTGATCAGCTCATTTTCTGACAGGTTTTTATAGAAATGGATCAGTTTCCTGAAACTTTCAAAGTCTCTGAACACAGAGGGGACACATGTTTGTGTATAAAAGACATGAAAAAGTGGATTTTGCATAATAGGTGGCCTGAACATGTTTCACATCTTAGGGAATGTGTCAAAATACCTTGTTTAAAACCTCCAACTTCAAATACCTGCTCTCAATAAGAAAAAAATCCAATGTTGATTAACAACTGGTGTCACGCCCTTTATATTGTTGAGCTGGTTGGGGATTAAGTATTTGAAAAAGAAAGGAAAGGAAAACAGGTTTGTAATTACTATCAACTTATTTTGGAGTCTTAGATCGCATCAGACCCAATTCTGTATATGGCTTCATCACCTGGATTTATTTCTTAATATTGAATCAAATATGACAGCCTACTGAATTGCTTTTTTTCCATTCTGTTATTATGGTTGACTTTTTTAACACATTTTATGCCTAGAAATTATGAAATGATCTGCCAAATCTGGCAAAAATGAATAAATACAAAAACATAGATTCTTTATTTGAACTGGCATTCAGGATTCACCACAACGTACTACTTGTTTTGCATTGTGAGCTAAACGTTTAACACCTTTAGGAGTTGATGTGCCTAAGAAGTTATAAAATGTGAGTTAAGCTTCGTGGGTAAAACCACAATTTGTCATACCAAGAGTTGTAATCTCCCTGTGAATCGACTGAGCAAGGACACTCTCTGGCACTGGAATCTTTCTTTAAGGCTTCCGAGTACCTGAGTATGCATGCCGTTACATACTGAAGGAGATCCCCAAATCTACTTTAAATGAGGGGGCCAGATTAGGTGCTAAATTCAATTCAAATGGTTAGAAAACCACTTGCTCCAATAGGTTATAATCTGCAATGGGGGTCCAACAGAAGAAGGTGCCGCTGATGTCACATGACATGAATAAGCCTCCCAACGTGACTCTGCTTAAAGTCAGTATTCACGCACCTCACAGGACTGAAGAGAGAAATTAACAGCTGTACTGAAAACAGCAAATGTACATTTTTGTATGGAATTTCCCTCTCATGTTGCTGCTTAACCTTTCTGAATAAATGCCTCTCATAACGTTTAGCAATGACCCGTCAGAAGTCTTGATTTGTTAGTTAAAGAAGAAAGACAGTTTTGTTTTAGAACATAATGGTGATGTGTATTGAAAGCAATACTGTTGGCAGTAAGGGTCTGAAAGAATCGGAATATAAGAGAACTTATTTCTGAATTGAAAGTCATGTTTCCTGAAAGTATACTACCACACATGTTCCTTTAAGACGTACAAGAGCATTCTAACCATTTACATTGCATTTAGCACTCCTTTAAGAAGGACCTAAAAACCTTTCTTTAAAAAACCTTTTATTAAACATGTGTTTTTAAGTATATATTGTATGCCCCTTGTAGCACTTTGGGATTGCTTTTAGTAATGAAAGGTGCTTTACAAATCAAATGTATTATTATTATTAGTAGTAGTATTTATTTGTATTAAGATTGAAAGTGCTAATTCTTGAATTGATATAAAAGCACTTAATCCTGAAGAGCAATTATTCCTCGAGGTGTGTGTGTACTTTTTAAATTGTCCAGATGTTCTCCCCTCAATCCCAAACATGGTGAATACGGCAGTGACTACACATCTGTCCACATGTGCTCCTTTCTGTGATACGAGGCAGCGGATAAAGAATCTAACTCCATTACGAATGCCTCTGCAGCAGTGAGGGGTGTTATCTTTACCACACTGTAAACTTTGTCCTAGTGCCATTACTGCATATTATGGTTTGTTGATCAGCCATGAGTTGAAGTAGGAACTCATATTCAATTGCAACTACGTTTTTCCCCAAAACTCAATTGGATTCAAAGAATTGCAGTTCATGTGCGTTAAACAACAGATGGACTGTGGTTCGATTTGGAGTAAAAAGGACCTCTGACTTTTATAAATCTTCTTTCATTGATCTTCTAAATACAGTTTAGGCACTTGTCTTCTCTTTTATTTAATTTGTCATTTGTTTTTGTCTGGTTGTATTTTTGGAGAACCTGATTATGTCTTCATGAATCGTTCTGAGATGAGTTATGATTACATGACTTTCATCTGGCCTTTGTCCAAAACACACACAATAAGTGTATTCATCCACAGCAACTTGAGCGGGATGTTCCAGATGATACATGAGTATAATCTCTCATTTCACTTCCTCACAATACAACTTTTGTCCAATGCAGGATGGGTGGAGAACGCTCAAATGAAGCGACACACAGGTGTTTGTAACCGATTCGATTTAGGCAGTTTCTAGCTGCGAGCTGTTTGACATGACGACACAGAGTGTGTACAAGGCATTTCCCTTTTGAACCCAAATGAGAGATTAAACTAATACAAAATATTTGAAAAAAAGTGAACATAGTCTGGTGAAGCAGAAATACTGTAGATACATTTAAGAATGAGTGATTATACTTCAGTAAAATGTTGAGGTATTTCTACTTTACTTGAGGATGTCCACGTTTTGCCAATGCCACTTTTCAGAGGGGAAATACTGTACTCCAAAAATGTACTACTTTTCTGTCAATTGATTAATCAAGAAATGGTAAGAGAAACATGAAGATCCTTTTGTAATAATAATAATACATGGTATTTATATAGCAATTCTCCTGGTGCTCATAAGCTTTTTATCACATGAGACTAACATGTGATTGAACCGGTGCTCCCCTGATCTGAAGATGAGCGCACTAACTCGCTGAGCCACAGGCGCCCCTTTAGTAGCCATTAGAAGCATGTACCGGAATAAATAAATACTGCATTGCAAACAAAGCATTTTAATGCTGAAAAATGGCCCCATATGTAACAACATACCGCATCTCTACATATATGCCAGCAATTCCATTCCAGTGTGTGTTGAATTACAACACAGAGACATGTTTTCAGTAGTTTATAGAATCAAATAAAAAATAAATTTACTCAAACTAATACCTATAAAAAGTCAAACCAGATAAACTGATCATTTTGTAGTGGTCTCTTCATTTTTTCCAGAGCTATATATTACGTTACTGGATTATTACTGATGCATATGTAAATAGGATTTTAACTTAGTTTATTCAAGTTTAATCTAACAAAATGTAAATCTGAATTTTTCTCAGTTCCGTCATATAAATGAGTAAAAGGCAAATTATTAGAATTGAAAAGTAATGTACACAACACGTGTAACGTTAGTTACAGTCCCTTTCACAGCTGTGAGTGCAGCTCTGACCTTTTGCATACATCACAGAATCATCAGTGGATAGGGTCTCCAGTCCATAGTGCCCTTACATTCTATTGCCATAGAAACTAAGTTAACCTAAACTACAGCGGAGGGTTCTCTGTCCTGACAACACTTTAAAAACAACACTTTCCTCATAAATCTGAACATCAGCTATAGATATATATCCGCTCGCGGAGGCCTACCTTGCACAGAGGCGCGCAGTGTCTCGTGCTGCCGGCCGCGTGGACACTACAGGTGCAGTCCGGTTTACACTCCACCATACAGAGCTGCTCCCCCGCGCCCTGTGATGCCTTGAAGACATACTTGGAGAGGCTTTTAGGCGACTTTGGTGAAAACATGTTCGGGCAGCTTTAATTCCGTTTACCTTATCTTCACCAATCAATGTCGCAGGGCAAAAGTCCGCAACGCGCGCGCTCCGGGCCGCGAGATAAGAGCGCAGCGCAGAGCCCGCGCGCACTCCTTAAAAAACCTCGTTTTTTTGGTGGTCAGCTTTGAGTAGGAGGTTTTTGATCAGAGGGAGTTAGAAAAATTGTGGGGAAAGCACGACTCCTACTGAGAGAACATATACACGGGTTGAAACGGTTTCACACTTCGGGAACACCTTAAGGCCTTAAAGTGCAATTTATAAACGTGTGAAGTTTTTACAACTAAGTTCTAAGTCCAAGTAAATTCAATTTGGTACTTGTGGGTTATCTGTCGCCACTTTTTTCCCGACTCTCTAAATACGCACTCGAGGTTAGGTTTAAATTAAAAAGTGGAAACAGATAACCGACAGTACCTTCAATTTCAACAATGATAAAATGGCAAAACATCCACAATTCTCACCACTTTTATTATAGGGTGATGAGGTCTCAAAATAAAAGCCAGTTTGCTTATTGATGGATTTTTCATATCCATTATCTATTCTCATGTATATTTGTTTCAATCAGCAGACTTACGATTACCACAACTCAAAACACAATAAATCAATTGTATTTTTTAATCCGTAATAATTGCACAAACGAGTATATATTTACAAAATACATTTTATTTACTCAAAGCCTCTAGTATCACTGTAAATGATGCAACAACAGTCAAAGTGTACGTTTGTGGGGAAAAGGGGACATCAAAGCAAACCAGGAGGTTTTTGAAAAGAAGATGCAAAGGAATGTAAAAACTATAGGACAAAAATCTTCATTTCTTTTTGTCTGAACTGGGGAATTCAAATTGTGGCACGCTGTAAAGAACGTCTATCTTTGGTGCCAATAAAAGCATTTCCTAAAACAAAAATCAGCCAGTTGAATGAGATGATTTCACTTCAAAGACTGCATAGAAATGAAGAAGGCACAGTTGAATATTTCACCAACATGCTCATCCTTAACCTTGTCCTATCTAAAATATTCCTCTATGGTTTGGAACAAAGTCCTTCTCTTTTCTTTTACACAACAATGTTCTCTTCAAAAAGGAAAAGCGAGTAACACTGGTGTTTTGCTGGTTAGAAAATCTTCCCTGTTCTCAAACATCCGGCAGGAGACAAACAGGAAATGCAAACCAGCAGAATCATCTCATCTGGCCTCGGCATGATTTATCTCCCATTTGAAAAGAAATGCTGTATTTTGGTACAGCAGGGCTAACATTTAGGACATGTGGGAGCAACAAGAACTACAAATAATTTCTTCGGGTGAATCTGTTCAGCGCTGTCGATCCCAGCGCCAGATGGAGGCGTCGTCACACACGGCGATCAAAATGCTGCTGTCGCGGCTGAAGCTGGTCTGCCGGATGGCCGAGGTGCATTTGGGGAGGGTCAGTGTGATGCACCTGCAGAACAGAGGGGGGGGGGGGAGGGTTAGGGATTGGTGCTTTTGGACCAGATGAAACCGTTAAGTGGAGCTCTTAATGATTTGCAATGTTTTAAATTAGGACTATGGTTATTTTAATAATAGATGTGTTATTGATCCCTTTATTTTATGAAATGTCTGACAAGTTTTCAACCTCACAGGGTCTTCAAACTAACTGATTTTGAAATGATTTTTGATTAGCTGAAAAATAAAATGTATGAATCCCCAGAAAAGGTTTTGTCTGACCTGAAAAAGTCCATTCATTATTTAAATCAATGCCACCGTTTTCCAACTTTGATGAGTTTAGAAAAAGAGACAAAATGAATGAATATATTCTTTAGGTGGAAATTAAACAAAATGATGAATAATGTTCTTCTGTAAAAGCTTAGCTAAAGTAAATAAATAACCTTTAGCTAAGTTATTCTAGCTTTTTCATGTAGCGGTCAAGTAGATACAAAATTACTTTATGAATCCCCAGGAACAAATATTACGCCAGATTGAAAATAAATGATATAATAAATAGATAATAGAGTAATGACATGTAGATACAAGTATACTGACACTATGGTGCCAGTTAGGTAGCAAACATGAGCAGCTCATTCACATTCTTGTGGATGTATCATCATTGAGTGTCCTGGCTGTCGGTGAGGATTCAAATGCCCACGTGTCATGATAACGCTAAAAATCATTCCTGTTCTTACTTTGCTTTGTGAGGGTCTTCCACTTCCAGGTCCCACACATAGAGTTTCCCCACCTGGTTCCCCAGAGCCAGCATCTGCAAACCACAAGGGAGTAAATATCAGCAACAGACTGAGACCCCATTTACACGGGAGCGCAAACGGACCGAATTCGTTATCAAATAAGTCTCTTCCGTTCACACGCATGTCCGTTCACACGAGACCACTGGAGACGCTGTAGTACATATGCCGGGCCTGTAAGTGGCGCTGTACTTCCGCCACAAACTACACCAAAAGCAGCGAAGAAGACCCCCGAGCATGGCTGCACTTCTGTTTATGCCCCGCAGTAGATTTAGCAACATGTAGTTCTCCATGTCCACTTGTTGCTGATGGTTGTGGTAGAGGAGCTGCAGGTTTTACACTAACGTCTGTAGCATGGTCAGTAGCAGTGACAGTAGCTGTTAGGGATTCATTTTGTCTTTACTCCTTAGACATTTAACCTTATTTTGTGTGTTGACATGTACGACCATCCCTGCTTCTAATCTCCCGTAAGGAATGTGTTGATACTAGGTTTTACAGCTTGACCTACAGGGCATAGGGAGGTTTTGCGAGTGTGAGAACGCTAGCTTCTAAGCTCCAGAGATGGGAGAGACATCTCCTGTGTCTGCAGATGTTTACGCCCATCCCCAATATGTGGATTTGACTCTCTGTAAACTAGTTAAAAGGTCTACCAAGATGCGAGGCTGATCAGATTTGACATGGCAAACCACCCGTGCAGTCAGAACCTTTGACTGTGTGACTTGTGATGTGAATTTCTCCGGCCGATGCTTGTATTCAATCTCAGTGTTTGCCATCAGAACTCCTGCTCGTCCCGTGTCTCCTTCATGAGTCGGTGACTCCCACTGCATTGCTACACAGAAGTTTCCACCACAGTAGCTACTGACCATGCTACAGCAGTGAGCAGCAGAGGTGGGGAGAGGCGGGGCTATGGCTTCATCGTTATCAGGAAATGATCGTATAGGGCGTACACACTGAGCCGTTTGGCCCCCCAGAGCGGTCCGTTTGCAGATCTATCCACCTTGGGACCCATTATCGTTCGCGGGATCCGTTTCCGCGGTTCCGTTACGGCCTCGTGTGAACGAACGGGCTATACGCGAGAGAGAAGTAGCAGATACAACCCGTTTTGTTCTTGTGTAAACACCGACCCAAAAGTGCAAAATGTAAGCACCATTTTCCAAGTGTCAATGATTTGCGTGTTAGATTATCAGACAGGACGGCTTCACCTTCTGCCAGAAGTCCATGGAGAAGCGCATGTACCAGATGTCACACTGGCTGTAGTCGAAGCGTCCCAGAATCGTCACGTTTGACTCGTTGGGTTTAATGTGATCGAGGTCGTCCTCCATCTTTCCTGGTTTCCAGCAGACAATGGCATTCTCACAGGACTGCAGAGGGACAGGAAATATGATAAAGAGCATGCTATTAAACTTTTTTAAGAAATTCAGAAAAGAACATCAGCAGTGGCCTTAAAGTATATGTATATGTATATATATATATATGTATATATATATATAGCACATTTAAAACAACCTCTGTTGACCAAAGTGCTGTACAGGAACACATACACTAGTATAGAATAACACAACAGGAATAGAATAATAATTAAAAACAAGATAAAAAAGCACAATAACTAGAAACATATAAAAACGTATAGAAATGTCAAAATGTCATGTTCAACTAGTATTAAAAAGACCACTATTTGGACTTATGTCCATTTTTTTTTTATTCAAGATAGATCCCTTTATTGAAAACAAAACCCAGTTAGGTGGTATAGATGAGAGCAACACCTACGTCATTTCCGGGCAAAAATTACGGCCATGCCCACTTTTGGGGAAAACAACGCTGTCATTTGAATGGTGGTCAATACACATTCTCAAGTTTTTGCCAATCCGATCAGAAATGTTTGAAAACCGTGGATCTTCAAAGAGCCCGGTTAGCCAGTCAGGCAAACAATTACATGTTTAATTAGACTTCTCTGTTTCATTTATTCTACTCTGTATAATTGTTCTGTAGTTATTGTAGCTAATACGGCGCTTTTGAGAGATTTTAAATCTCAGATCTGCTCAAGTGAACCTGTTACACAGGTCGCAGTGGGCACTCCAGCCTGCATTACAATATAGGCAGGGCCAGTCTGCTGATTGCGTGAAGTACAACAGCGTGAATTAGTCATCTTCCAGCTAAAAAGCACTCAAATACCGCATTTAAAATCTGATGAACTCAGTGTGCATCTCGACCGGGTGACGACACTACCTATTGACGCAGCAACCACTGTAAGTTATATTCTTGTTTAATTAGACTTCTCTGTTTCATTTATTCTACTCTGTATAATTGTTCTGTAGTTATTGTAGCTAAAACGGCGCTTTTGAGAGATTTTAAATCTCAGATCTGCTCAAGGGAACCTGTTACACAGGTCACAGTGGGCACTCAAGCCTGCATTACAATATAGGCAGGGCCAGTCTGCTGTCGCCCATCAGCTGTAGAGAGTTAACTAATTAGAGGGGCGTGGCCCCACAGCTGTGAAAACTCAGCAATCAGGCGTCCATTTTAGGTAGCTCTTTCCTGGAGCGTCAGCTTTAGCGTCAGACAGCCGAAGACTGACAAAGACATTGGAGTCCTGCGGGAGTAAAGGCCCTGACACACCAGGCCGATATCGGCTGTTCTCGTAAGTCGGGAGACGAAGCGTGTCCTGTCGCCCAAACTCAATTTGGTGTGTCCCGCACCATCGACCGTGACACGCCTTATTTGGACTGCCTGTCCCGATGCATGGCCGATTCAACATGTTGAATCGGCCATGCATCGGGTCTGGCAGTCGGACCAAACAATCACTCTGATTGGCTGTTCAGCTAGCGAATCAGTGCATGAGAAGCGAAACGGAAGTGAGGGACGTAAACAAACGATTTAAGAAGGCACACACAGACTGATATTCATTTTCATCTCATCATGGCGATCTGGAATGACGCAAACAAAGACCTGCTCATCACATTGATCCAGGAGAGGCCAGCTCTGTACGACATCACAGAGAAAAGGTACTCGAACCGAGTAGTGAAAACCGGACTCTGGCGAGAGATTGAAACGCAACTTGGTTTCTTGGGTAAGATTATCTTTTTCATCAATTGAGCTCTTTAGCAGATATTGTTGGCTTTTTATTGTTTGCCAGTGTACAGTGACGTTAACGTGAAATGTAATTTGTTATTTCAACATTGTGTTTTGTTGTTATCTTGTTGCTAGCTGTGCAGTTTGGCACTGCATATAGATATGAATTGGACATGCTAACTAGCCACAATGGTTACATCGTTTATTTGTGTGCTTCAGAGAAAGAGCTGAGGAAGAAGTGGGATTCTCTGCGAACCCAGTACACCCGGTACAGGAGACTTGCCCCTTCGGGTAGTTGTGGAGCACCAAAGACGGGCAGACAGCAGTGGATCATAACCAGGCTGCAGTTTGCACACGCTATTTGTTGTTGTTTATATCACGCAGTCTGTTCTTCTTCTCTGTCTTCCGGTTGTTGCCTATTTTTAATGACGAATACACACTACCGCCGCCTGCTGGTAAGGAGAGTTATTGCCACTCACGCACTGAAGTCTTTGCGTTGTGTTCCCGTGCGACACATGGCCAAGACGCAGGAGAACACCGCGACGCAACAGCCGACGTCGGCGAGTCCTCTGGTGACTGCTTGGTGTGTCAGGGCCTTTAGACTGACAAAGACATTGGAGTCCTGCGGGAGTCACGAGGGAGGCAAATCCTACTCTGATTCAGCTAATTACCGCTGGTGTCTTATTTTTCTTTTCTTTAGTTTTCTAGCCCCTCATGCTATAATCATGTGTATTTTCTCCATTCCTGTTCATGTGTCTTCTCGCAATTATCACTGGCCCCGTGTATCTCCTAATCGCTATAACCGGCCTGCTCTCGTCTGTCCCACATGCTCCACTGAGATCCAACATCTAGTTTCAGGTGGCCTGTGGAACTGCCAGTCAGCTGTTCCTAAGGCTGACTTCATCTCTGGCTACGCCTCCCTGCAGTCCCTGGATTTCCTTGCTCTCACTGAGACCTGGATTACTCCATTCAACACATCCACCCCAGCAGCTCTCTCCACAGCATATTCCTTCTCCCATACACCCAGACCCACTGGCAGAGGAGGTGGCACTGGTCTCCTGCTCTCTCCCAAATGGAGCTTTTCCCTCTTTAAGCTACCTAACTTCACTCCTTCCACCTTTGAATTCCATGCCGTCACAGTAACCCATCCTAATACAATTAACCATTGTTGTTCTCTACCGTCCACCAGGCGCCTTGGGAGACTTCTTGGAGGAATTAGATAATCTCCTCTCACACATCCCTGAAACTGGCCCTCCCGCTGTACTTCTCGGAGACTTCAACCTCCAGACAGGGAAGATAGACGAACTAACATCTCTGTTAACTGCCTTTGCTTTCTCACTGTCTCCTTCCCCACCAACTCATAAAGCTGGCAATGTCCTTGATCTCATATTCTCAAGGAACTGCGCTACTTCTAACCTCTCTGTAAACCCGCTCCACACATCCGATCACTTCTTCATTTCATTCTCTCTACCCCTTTCCAAACATAACAAACTAATCTCTTCTCATCCTGCACCTGTCCGCCGTAACCTTCGTTCCCTCTCCCCCTCTACCTTTGCCTCATCGGTGCTCTCAGCCCTCCCTTCATCTGACTCGTTCCAACTCCTGCCTCCAAACTCTGCTGCAGAAACTCTCCTCTCTACTCTCTCTACTCTCTCATCCTCTCTGTCCTCTCACATCTCGGCAGGCTCGTCAGTCCCCTCCTGCTCCCTGGCTAAATGACACACTGCATGCTAATAGAACCGTCCTTAGGTCAGCAGAGCGGAAACGGTGGAAAACCAAACACCATGACGACCTCCTAACATATCAGGCTGTCCTCTCCTCTTTCTCTGCTTCGATCTCTCAGGCAAAAAGCACTTTCTTTCAAGATAAGATCCAATCTTCCTATTCCAATCCCAAAAAACTATTTTCCATCTTCTCCACCCTCTTGGACCCTCCCAAAGCTCCTCCCCCCTCCTCACTTCTGTCAAGCGACTTTGTTATCCACTTTGAAAAAAAGGTTGATGATATTCGCTCTTCTTTTTCTGACTCACCTTTACTCACCAGACCCTCCTTCCACCCACACACTAACCTCCTTTTCCCCTCTCGCTCCAAGTGAGGTTCTTACCCTCATTACCTCTGCCCGCCCTACCACCTGTCCTCTGGACCCTATCCCTTCAAACCTCCTTCAGACTATCGCTCCTGATATTCTACCGTTTCTCTCCCATTTCATCAACACTTCTCTAACTTCTGGTCACTTTCCAAACAGTCTCAAGGAGGCAAGAGTAAACCCTCTCCTAAAGAAACCCACTCTCAACCCGTCTGATGTTATAAACTACAGGCCTGTCTCTCTACTCCCGTTCCTGTCTAAAACACTTGAACGCGCTGTCTTTAAACAACTCTCCTGTTATCTCCATCAGAACAACCTTCTGGATCCGCACCAGTCTGGTTTCAAGGCAGGTCACTCCACAGAAACTGCTCTCATTGCTGTCACTGAGGAACTGCACACGGCTAAAGCAGCCTTCCTCTCCTCTGTCATCATCCTTTTGGACCCGTCTGCTGCATTCGACACGGTGAATCATCAGATCCTCCTTCGCACTCTCCAAGAACTTGGAGTTTCAGGCTCTGCACTTTCCCTCCTCACCTCATACCTCAAAGACCGTACCTACAAGGTAACTTGGAGAGGGTCTGAGTCCGACCCTTGTCAATTAACTACAGGGGTCCCTCAGGGCTCTGTTCTTGGTCCCCTCCTCTTCTCCCTGTACACAAACTCACTCGGATCAATCATTAGCCCGCATGGTTTTTCATACCACTGCTACGCTGACGACACCCAATTAATTCTGTCCTTTCCCCGCTCAGAGACCCAGGTCGTCGCACGCATCTCTGCTTGTCTAGCTGACATCTCTCAGTGGATGTCTCATCACCTCAAGCTCAACCTTGACAAGACTGAGCTGCTTTTCCTTCCGGGAAAAGATTGTCCCACTCTTGACCTGACTATCAACATCGGCACCTGTGTTGTTTCCCCGACTCAGACTGCAAGGAATCTGGGTGTGATCCTAGATAACAACCTGTCCTTCACTGAAAACATCGCTGCTACAACCCGTTGCTGCAGATACACGCTTTACAACATCAGGAAGATACGTCCCCAGCTGACACAGAAAGCGACGCAGGTTCTGGTCCAGGCTCTCGTCATCTCACGCCTAGACTACTGCAACTCCCTCCTGGCTGGTCTACCTGCATGTGCCATCCGACCTCTGCAGCTCACCCAAAATGCAGCGGCTCGTCTGGTCTTCAACCTTCCTACATTTTCCCACACCACTCCGCTCTTCCGCTCCCTTCACTGGCTTCCGGTAACTGCTAGAATCCACTTCAAGACACTGGTACTTGCTTACCATGCTGCGAATGGATCTGGCCCTTCGTACATCCAGGACATGGTTAAACTGTACACCCCAGCGCGTGCACTACGCTCTGCATCAGCCAAACGACTCGCTGCGAAGGGGACCCAAGTTCCCATCAGCAAAAACACGTGGGTTTGCTATCCTGGCTCCAAGATGGTGGAATGAGCTCCCCATTGACATCAGGACAGCAGATAGCTTGCACATCTTCCGGCGCAGACTGAAAACTCATCTCTTTCGACTCCACTTCGAGCGATAGAATTATTAACAAAGCACTTATATACTAATAAAGGACTGGCTTATCTATAGCCAGTTGAGTAGCACTTGAAATGTTTGGCTCTATGAAACCTGATGTACTTATATGATTCTGTTTTCTTCAAGGTTGTGTCTTCCTGGTCGAATGTACTTATTGTAAGTCGCTTTGGATAAAAGCGTCAGCTAAATGCAATGTAATGTAATAACATGAAATCAGTGGAAATCGACTGTCGGGCTCGATATATGGTTATTATGGTTGTTATATATTAAAATCAGTAGGCGAGGCCGTCATTTCGCCAGCTGTTACTCTCATAAGCGAGGCGGAAAATAATTGGATGGCTCTTTGAAGATCCAAAAATCCACGGTTTTCTTACATTTCTGATCGGATTGGCAAAAACTTCAGAATTTGTATCGACCGCCATTCAAATGACAGCGGTGGTTTCCCCCAAAAGTGGGCGGAGTCGTAATTCTTGCCCAGAAGTGACGCATGTGTTACTCATGTATTGTGAGAAGCAATTTGTGTGATTTTATTAAAGGTTTTATACGAATAAAGTTTGATTGATTTGTCTTCAAAAAAGGTATTGTTTTAAGGTTTCTGTTTTGTCCTAATTATTCCTAACTTGCCTTGGAGAGAATGAGATCCCCGAGCCACCGCACACAGTCCACGTAGTTCCTGTGGATGTCTCGTGTTGAGAAATCCGGGAAGTGAATTTTCTGTGAAACGAAAGGCCTGAAGAAAAAGAAAAAAAACACACCCAAAAAATGAAATCATTAAAAAAAGAGAAGATTTGAGTTGCTACAAGACCACACCACTGAACAGTGACCATATCTACCTGTTGGTCTTGGAGGGGTTGTACTCATAAGACCCTCGGATGGCTATCTGCATCCTCTCTGAATTGATTCGCCAAAGTTTTAAGGAGTGGTCCATCCCACAAGACATTATCTTTTCGCCAAGTAGATCAAAATCCTGCAGGGAGAATACAAAAAACATTGTAATCCAGGTTGAATTTGTATTCCCACGTGAGCTGAATTCATTCTAGACTCACAGCACTCAGGACTTCATCTCGATGCCCTTCCACGCCGCCAAATATCGCCACTAACGTATCCGTCTGTATGTTCCATAGACGGAGGGCATGATCTGAAATGGACAATCACAAGTTAATACAATCAATGCAACACATTTCCAACTCAGTCAATCAGAATACTTGATTTAGATCATTTCCGTTGCTACAACAGAATAGGAAGTTAGGAGTCAAAACATTGATATAACGGAATATAATCAAAGAAGGTGAACATCTCACTACAATCTATTTCACTGTTAATTCAGTGCTGTACTACAATAACATATTCATTCTGAATTGCACAGCTAAAGGACATATGTTCATCAGTTGGACACATGACATACAATATCAGGGGTCCCTCAGGGCTCTGTTCTCGGTCCCCTCCTCTTCTCCTTGTACATAAACTCGCTCGGATCAGTCATTATCCCGCATGGTTTTTCATACCACCGCTACGCTGACGACACCCAATTAATTCTGTCCTTTCCCCGCTCAGAGACCCAGGTCGTCGCACGCATCTCTGCTTGTCTAGCTGACATCTCTCAGTGGATGTCTGATCATCACCTCAAGCTCAACCTTGACAAGACTGAACTGCTTTTCCTTCCGGGAAAAGATTGTCCCACTCTTGACCTAACAATCAACATTGGCACCTCTGTTGTTTCCCCGACTCAGACTGCAAGGAATCTGGGTGTGACCCTAGATAACAACCTGTCCTTCACTGCAAACATCGCTGCTACAACCCGCTGTTGCAGATACACGCTTTACAACATCAGGAGGATACGTCCCCAGCTGACCCAGAAAGCCACGCAGGTTCTGGTCCAGGCTCTTGTCATCTCACGCCTAGACTACTGCAACTCCCTCCTGGCTGGTCTACCTGCATGTGCCATCCGACCTCTACAGCTCATCCAGAATGCAGCTGCTCGCCTGGTCTTCAACCTTCCTAAATTCTCCCACACCACTCTGCTCCTCCGCTCCCTTCACTGGCTTCCGATAACTGCTAGAATCCACTTCAAGACACTGGTACTTGCGTACCATGCTGCGAATGGATCTGGCCCTTCCTACATCCAGGACATGGTTAAACTGTACACCCCAGCACGTGCACTCCGCTCTGCATCAACCAAACGGCTCGCTGCACCCTCGCTGCGAAGGGGACCCAAGTTCCCATCAGCAAAAACACGTGGGTTTGCTATCCTGGCTCCAAAATGGTGGAATGAGCTCCCCATTGACATCAGGACAGCAGATAGCTTACACACCTTCTGGCGCAGACTGAAAACTCATCTCTTTCGACTCCACTTCGAGCGATAGAACTATTAACAAAGCACTTATATACCAATAAAGGACTGGCTTTTCTAAAGCCAGTTGAGTAGCACTTGAAATGTTTTTGCTCTATGAAGCCTGATGTACTTATATGATTCTGTTTTCTTCAAGTTTGTATTTTGTTGGTCGAACGCACTTATTGTAAGTCGCTTTGGATAAAAGCGTCAGCTAAATGCAATGTAATGTAATGTAATATTGATTATGAGGCTCCATAACTGCTGCATGAGGAAATAATAAAAAGTATTAGCTGGGGGTTGACGCTCGTGAACTATCAGCAGGAGGGCGGGGGAGCCTCGCTGCGGGGAAGCAGTGTGTGGACCTGTCAGCGCAACTTACATGATGCCAAATTTAACAAACACATTTAAATAATTGGTTTAAACGGCATAATAATAAGGACGATCGTCCGTTCTGTGATTCTCCAGAGCACACATGTTATGATATTAGGGTCACGCAGAGTGAGATGAGATCGCTGTCCCTTTAAGAGAGAGAGAGAGGGGTGTGGCTTGTGCATGTGTGTTTGTGGATGGTAGAGCGACAGTGAGGGAGCATGTGTATGTTTCTGGAAGTGAAACGAGGAAGCAGAAAAACAGAGGTCTGTGATGTATTTTGTGAAACAGAAGAACAGCTAAATAAATGCAACGGCCTCCCAAGAAGAGCTCGCCTCTCTCCAGTCATTTAAGCTAAAGTGGGTTATTGAACCTGAAGCTTTTGCTTCTGCCCTCCTCGACTACGGTCTGGGAGCCGACAGGAAAGTTCAGCAGATGGCCAGTCCGCCCCTTTGTAATAATAATAATAATAAATTATATTTCTATAGCGCTTTTTGTAGCATATTATTTCGATGAGAGATGAGCAGCACCGGGCTTTCAACTAAAGACACAGCCACGCAAAAACTGCGGCATTTGTACAGCTCCTTATGGGTACTGCAATTAGTGAAGTGCTTTCCTCTGTGGTGAAACGATCAGCACCACGGAGGAAAGCGGCAGAAAGTCACCTGGAGATAAACAGAGCGGGGCTGCGTTGCGTGCATGGCTTCCTTCTGCAGGTAATGGGGAGACGCGCTCTAGCGGCGGTCTCGTTCAGGATCCGAAAATACAATTTAAATATTTTGCACACTTATTCCACTTATTCCTAGTGTGCCACTGGTTACGGTGCCGCGTGCCAGGGGTTGCCGACCCCTGGTCTGGAGGGTCTTTACCTTTGCTGACCGACAGGAGGAGATTTGGATCCCTTGGATGAAACTTGAGCTCATTGATGGCATTTCCGTGACCTACATAATGCTGGGATTGAAAATAAGAAGACATTTTAGACATGAATTTTTCATTCTCAATGAGAATGAAATACATCATATCTTTGGACTGGAACGATGTACAGGGAACTGTTTTATGGTTAATGCTTTATGACATGTGTCTAAATAAATGATCTCATCATAAATAACTAGCTGTGTTAAATGGTTCCTCAAATGAATCATATAGAATATAAAACATGCCTTGAACATTGAACTGTGCAGAAGAATACTTTCAGTTTGAGTTCTACAACTAAACAATGCACAAGTAATGAAATGGGCAGATCATTTCTTTGTTGCGACAATGCTTGATTCAATCTTATACCGTTGGAAAGCCTGTTCATGTCCCTTTTAAATTGGAACGTGCATTTGTGGGATGAGCAGCAGAGCTGAGCATGTGTCTCGTGTCAAACAGCTTTTTTTTGCTGTCGACTCTTGTTGGGTGTTGCTATTGAGTCTTTTTTGAGCTGCTGCTGGTCCCCCGGGTGCTTCCAATCAGGCACACCTGCCAGAGTTACCAACACAACCACGTTGGCTGAGAAATGCTGGTTGAAGAATGGACCATCCCACAGTAGTGTGTGAGCAGCATGAGGAGGAGAGGCTGCTGTGGCTGTGTATGGATCTTCAACACGCTACTGAGGCTGCTTGTTAAATGAATACATTGTTAAACTGCCAATATGTCTTATTTCATCAGGCTTCAACCATCCAATCCACCAAACAAGAGTCAACAGCAACACAAAAGCCGGTTGGCATTGACAGAGGAGATTTGTCACATTTTTCATGGACGCAACCCACATACTCAGCTCTGCTGCTTATCCCACAAATGTGGCACCATTTGAAAGGTAAATAAACAGGCTTTCCCACAGTATAAGATAGGACATTGTTTATCCCGAAGGAAATTGTTGTGCCAGAGTTACAAAGATACAATAAAACAGCAGGCTAATACAACTGTACACTAACAGTGCAGTTAAAAGAGGCAACGCGATCAGTATGGACATTGCACATAATGGGAGTGTTATTCAGACAATACTGATTTAATGCCAAGAAGCATTGTTACAAAGAAATAATCTACCAAACACAAATGTCCTTACTTGCTGTGCTATGTTTCTAAGAGACATTTATATGGAGTATTATATGTGTGTTCAGACAGAGATGTGTGCTAGGTGACCCAAACTACTGCAAACCCCGACGAGCTGTACCTTGATACACTGCATTGTGATGTGGTTGATCACCCGGATGATTCCGCGGGACCCGGCCACGGCCAGCAGAGGATGGTTTGTGTTGGTGTTGTAGGTCCAGGCACACGTATAGAAGTTCTCATCTGTCTTTAAACACATTTAATTAAGGACATTCAAATAAAAGAACTCATACCTAAACGGTGACAATTAGATTTGAAATTGAGCGACAATGAGGACTTTTAAAAGCATCTTAAACTGTTGAAAGGATACATCTGCATCCACGTAAGACTGCAATAGTCTTATTTCTCCCTGAGAGTGACATTCATAAAGAGTTACCTGGTGAAGAAAAGAAAGCACTGGTTAAGAATGGAATAAAACATTAAGTGAAATCCAACATAGAACAACAATTATGGCTTATTATAGTAACTTACCCTGTTACTCCCCTACTGTGGCAAACACCAGCGGGTCTCCCTCCTTGCTGTGCCAGTTAAACTGGACGCCAAACAGCGGCTGTCCATGGTCTTCCTGTGGAAATCCTGATGTCATTATTAACCCAAGTCACGGGACAAATAGTGGTTGTTTAGCATGTGAGAAGCTGGGATGAATACACTGTTTGGGCGCTTGTCTGTACGTACCCTCAGGCTGTTGACACATTTAAAAGAATATCTGCACTTCTTGGACTTCCACTTGCCCTTGCCCCAGCTCTTTCTGCCTGGGGCGTTGGCCGTGTTGGTGGGGGTGTCCGGGCGCTCTGCGTGGGTCCCACTTTCAACACTGACAGCATCATCCTGCAAAAGCAAAGACATATACGGGTGACTTCATATTTCTCCTGCAGATATAACCATTGTTGGTGATGACTGTGCAAGGAAGCAAAGAACAGATCATAATCTTCAACCAGCTAAAAACCTACCACTACCATTTTAATACGGATAGTGTTCTGCAAGCGTGTAACTATGAATTAACTCTGGTTCATCAAACTGTTGCTGCATTTACATGATCACGTCCAGTGGAATCTGCCTGAATAACTTTATTCTGCACAAGAAATGTATTGCTGACAGGAGGTTAACGTTTGCAAAAAGACAATAACGGCCCTATGAATGTTTGTCCTCCATCATCCACAGTTGTTTCTTTCTCTCCCTGATTAACTTATATTAGCTTCTAGTGCTAACAATTGCCTTGGGTTGGACATTCTGTGACTGTCTACACAGCAAACAAATGTGTATGTACATAAACGACAATGAAGCTACCCATGTGTAACCTTTTTGGATGGATTGGCAGCTTTTATCATCACAGCCGAGTTACATATCGCAGGTAAGAATCAACAAAGCTCCTAGCTAAACACTTTAGCCGGTTGGCTATTTTAGCACGATGCTAACTTGCTAGAAGCACTGATGGATAATTGGTCGCAGAAGAAACAACAGAGTTGAACTGCTTACATTCTCGTCTCCTGATAAATCGGGGTTACTGTTCTCGTCACTGCTTAGTTTTTGTTTTTTCGCCGGTATTTCTTTTCCCGCTTGAGAGGGGGTCTCGGACATGTTCTTATTTTCCCTCATTTTGGCTCAAACTCCGCCTTTTCCGCGCCACTACCGGAAAAGTTGCCGGCTTTCTTTCTTCTTCTTTGATGTGTATTGGTTGTTGGCAAACCAGCTCTGAGGTGCAATACCGCCGCCTAGTGGACTGGAGTGTAAAATCACGATATTATGCAGGGACCAAACATATTTTAGCTAAATTAGATTACTTTTAAAACTACTTAGTTTATAGATCTGACGTTTTCCTACTTACTGACGGAAGAAGTTGTTTTCTTTTGATATGTCTTTCTTTACAAATAGTTAGTAAATTGGCTACAGTGTGTGCATTTTCTGGTTGGACTTGCCTTTTTCATATGAAAACAAAGTGTTATATATTTTTGTTCTCTATCCACTTTGGGGGGTGGAGGCAATAATATTACAAATAGTTCTGTGGTATGGTCTGATACTCTTTTCTTGAAATATCTCTTGTATAAATGATTCATCCTTCGCTGTATGTTGAGGTCTTTATTTGGGAAAGTGAATAAAAAAAGGAGGCAATTAAACTAGTTAAAGCTTTATACTAATGTATGTAATCCTATACTTCCAGCCTTTGCATCACCAATCTACCAAAATATGCTCTTGGCAACATTTTGAACAATTAAAACATTTTATAAATACTGTTTTTAGAACGTTCATCTCCAAAACGATCAACCGTGTAGACACCTAAGATATGCACTCTTACAGCTTAGTTCTTTTTCAAAGACATTAAAATGCATTTAATAAAAAAAACAGTTTACAATCATGTTTTCTGAAGTAGACAACATCGGTTTGCTTTTACAGTCCAATAATATGTTGCTCTTTGCAGTGATGTCAGCCATTTTGTTGGAATGATGTGTCCTGGCTTTAGATCTACAGCATCAACTCTGCCTCCTCGATGGAGGCCACGCTCATCTTCTCGGACATCTCTTCATCCTCCTCTTCCTCCTCCTCCTCCTCCTCCTCCGCGGTTCTCTTTACGCCCCTCTGCTTCGACAGGGCCACGGCGTAGCGAATGTTATACATGTTAAAGTCACACCTGTACAGTAGGAACAGAGGTAAGAGTGTCAGGGCTCAGGAGGATTTCTTGCATTACAAAAACAGGAAATGACATGGAAACTCATTTGTGGCTTCAGAGTTGTGTTGATTAAAGCTCGATATAAGACGGTAGGGATTGATGTGGCCAAAAACGTTAATACTTACAGTTTGGACAGATTGTCAAAGTGTCTCTGGATGCTTTTCTGCAGCGCCTGCAGCGTGGGCAGTATGGCTCCCGACCTGCACAGCAGATAGAGATAATCAGTCACCCATAATCATATGAAGACGGGAAGGGAAATCAATAAGGGCCTGGGAGCGTACCTGTTCTTCAGCTTCTGTCCGTGCAGCATGAGCAGGCTCTGGGCCCAGGTCATGTAGAACTGCAGGTGACCCGACTTCTCCAAACTCGCCGCCACGAAGCCCAGAAGCTTCTCCACGTAGATCTCAGGAAGAGAGCTGCAAACCACTGGGACTGGAAGATCAAATAAATAAATATCATTGATCACGTTCAGAGGGAGCAGATCATTTCATTATCATTTGAGATGGACTCACTCTGCTCATGAGGCACTTTTTCCAGCACTTCCTGCTTCAGGGCTTTTTCGTTGAGTCTGAACGCAAGCACGATGGCCGGCGCCCACTCCTGGAGCCGCAGCTGCTTACGGATGCTGGCCGGCGTCACGTCCATGTCAAGGTCGTAGGGGTCAAAGACCAGAGAGCCGTCGAGGGAGTAGACCAGCAGACCCTCGGTGGTGGTGGCCGCCCAGCTACGACCTGAGAAAACATGGAAACACTTAATAAACCTTTAAGACCGCAGTTTCCCATTAGATTGACTTAAATAAAAAATATGACAACAAATACAATTCAGAGTATGTAAGGTGACCATTGCTCTCTCCGTGTTTACAGATGTTATACTCCCCCATCGACATTTAAACTCAATTCCTTCTCAACTTGTTGCCAGCTGCATAACAAAGTATGATAGAGGACATTCCATTTGATGTGTTAATTGACGGATGGACAAAAAAAAACGATAACTTTAGAGTGTTTAGATAATTAAATGATTATATTTCCAAAACTGTCATTTCATAAGCACCCTTTCTATCCTCTTTATCAGACATTCCTAGCACGCTCAATACTTAACGACAACCTACCAGTAGGAGAGAACCGCAGCGAGCTCACTCTGATCTCAGGCTTGAAGTGTCGAGAACTCATATCCCCTTTAAAGAAAAAACCATACAGAAAATATGAGTAAAAACACAAGCGAATACAGAGCACGGCGTAAAAAATAGACCACCATTTTGGATCATCAGCTGGACAGCAATGATGCCAACCCTTTTGTGGATTATCATTCTTCATAACAGCTCTTTTAAGTGATGGCATACCTTTCCTGACTCCAGGCAGGCTGATGTTGACTCCCTCCCCGTCTCCAGCTCCCTCGTCCACCAGAGCCAGGCTGCCGAACTCCGTCATCTTCCGCCTGTCCAGGAACTCCTGAAGGCAGCATGGGAAAACAAGTTCAAGAACCGAGTAAGCATATTGGTGATCACTGGATCCTTCTGTGGAACATGAAAGATTCCTTGAAGTGTGTGATGTTGCTCTGAAAGTCGTACCTCCATGGCATCGAAGGACAGGTTGCAGGAGATCTCAAACTTCTTCATGAGCATCTGCTCCTTCACGTTGTAGATGCAGACAAACTTGGACTGTCCTCCCGCCAAAACCGACTCCCCGTCCGCAGAGTAGCACAGTGACGTGAAGGACCTGGATGAACAAAGGCGAGGAAGCGCATCCTGAATCTTATATTCCACACAAAGCCTTATCCGCTTTGATTGGACCAAAGGAAATGAGTTCAGCTCTCACTCACTTCCCCTTAGCGGACTGCTTTGCTGTGATTTTATCCGTCTCTTTGCGGCCCGTCTCCAGGTCGTGGCGTCCGGACACGGAGCCGGTTTGTGTCGCCGTTTGTGGGTTCCAGAAAGAAACCTCCCCGTTCAGAGTGGCTACAGCCAGCTCCTGACCGTCAGGGCGGTACGTCACTGCCAAACCTGAGAGGAAAATATACAGCAGAATATGACATCACATATGATAGCAGTGATACTGTAGATCAGTGGTCGCCAACCAGTCGAGTAGTGTGGTGCGGGTAGATCGCGGACCGTTAAAAAAAACATAACAAAATAAATAAAAATAAAATAAAAATAATAATAATGTTTGAAAAATAGGTTTTTAGATGTAAACCTTATCATCCACCACCCCGTTAGCAGGTGCCACTTGATTGACGTATATTTGAGACACCTCAATAATATAATACATTAACCGTGCTTTACGTGAACCTCATCATAACACAAGAGAGGACTGCAATTTCCCGTGTTCAGTGAATGCAACAGAGGCAAGTCACCAGACCAATCAGAGAGTTGCATGGAAATACCTATGGGAAATACACGTGTGCTTGTATCATTCAAGCTCGGGGCTGTGTGTGTGTGGCAATAGCGCATTTAGTGTGTGAGAGAGAGAGAGAGAGAGAGAGAGAGAGAGAGAGAGAGAGAGAGAGAGAGAGAGAAAGAGAGAGAGAGAGACCGGTGCTAGCGGGGACCGTGATGTTAGCATCTGGTTAGCTAGCTGCACTAACGGACATAAGGAGCTGTTTCCACAACAAGCTGGAGGAGAGTCCTCCCCCTGTCAGACTGAGGGGCTCAGGTGAGCTAAAGGACTCTGAGTGTTTAAAACGGTTGTGTCACAAATTATTCAAAAGATTATTTCCGCGGCACACCTTCATATGATCATTATAGTTATACAAACAATAAGAGAATAAATGAAAAACAGGTATGAAATACTATATAGCAGTAAAACAAGAATACAGTTTAAAAGGAGAGTGATTTGTAAAATATCCATAAAGAAAAAGAAAATCTGTTGACAGTTCTGTTTCATATGGGTGCTGAGAGATGTATCCCTAGATCTCTTCATGTTGCTCTCAAAGTGCACCAGATTGATGCTTTCAACTTCAATATGTCTGTACGGGAGCATCCCCCCGGACCCCCCTAGAGGAGGATAGGACCTAGAGGAGGTGAGGACCCCCCTAGAGGAGGTGAGATCCGCCCCCCACTCAAAAGAAATAGCACTTTACCCCTGCCTATATGCCGTGAGCTGATTATGGAGCCTTCATTGTAACAGTAATTCAGATGCAATTAGCCTATAAAAAAAGGCCTCAAATTGGAAGCACTGTCTGGGCCGTCTTTATCACTCGATTCTGCAATAGGTAGATCTTGCCTTTCACCTAGGCCGAGGTCGGTGATCTTGGGCTTAAAAAGGTTGGTGACCACTGCTCTACATTATCCATCGCAAAAGACAAACGTTGTTTCTTGTGTTATTCCAACATGTTTAGGGCCTTGAAATGACTTGTTATCCACTATGAAGCAGAATTTGATCAAAATCGCTATGTTCTATTTTTGAACCATCAGAACCTACTTCACCTGTCGTAGGACTTTATTTATAACCTGGAACAATCATACAATAAAGTCCCTTAACACTCCAGAAATAACATAGGTTCCTTATATTCAGAATCAGAAAACACAGATAGAAAACTATAATAACATTACAAAATATTTAAAGAATACAGTAAAAATATAGCAGTATTTACATTGAAATAAAATATAAAATATGTGCAGTAATAATAGATATTAAGATAATGCATATTGTATGTATAATGAAATATTCAGCGTGTGTATTTACCATCAGAGGTGAGGGATAGTGTCTCTTTGACCTGCCAGCTGTCCAACATGTCCCACAGCCGGACAGTGCGGTCCCAGGAGACACTGGCCAGGATGGAGTGGACCGGACTGAAGCACAGACAGCTGACCGGGCCCTCGTGGCCCCCAAGGACCTATCAATAACAGGGATGGAAAAATATGAATATTTTTAAACATGAGCCATGTGAGAATATAATTAATAAATGTGCTGAAGAGTTTGGAAGCAACGTTTACATTCTGTGCAGGTTTTTG